TTATGGTTAGACTAGGATTATAGGTTTTGAGAAGGAGACCACAGAAGGCAAAGCACCGTCCTCCACATAGCACCAAGAGTACATGCTAACAACATGATGTCACTGAGATGTCAACTTTGGGAACCTGTCTAAGGCAGTGATGATGAGCTATGCTCTACTTTCAGGAGAGAGAAATACTGGCAAAATTTATTTGGAATTGGCTGAGTGTGGTGGCTCACACCTATAATCCTAGCACTCTTGAGAGGCTGAGGCGGGTGGACTGCCCTGAGTTCAGAGGTTTGAGACCAGCCTGAGCCAGAGTGAGACCCCACCTCTACCAAAGAAAAAAGTCAGGCATCATGGTGGGTACCTGGAGTCCCAGCTACTTGGGAGGCTCAGGCAAGAGAATCGCTTAAGCCCAAGAGTTGGACATTGTTGTGAGCTATGATGCCATGGCACTCTACCAAGGGCCATAAAGTGAAACTCTATCTCAATAAATAAATAAATGAAAAAAATGTATTTGAAATTATGGGAGATGTGTCTCTTCTTTCCACTTTACATATTTATTCAATCCTTTATTTGTGTCAACATGGACTCATGAAAATTTATTTCATACTTTGGGTTATAATTCCAAATTACATTTAGTATTCAGTTTGGGTGACTGGGAGATCTTTCAAAAGGCTCTGATGCTCCTTTAATATACCCACATCATTTTATTTTACTTTTTTAGCCCTTCCTTACTTTTTGGCCCTCCTACATGCTCCAGGCTCATCTTGAATATTCCTTGCCCCTCCCCTAGAATGATGCCTTCTAGGAATCCGGTACCTTTCAGTGGAGAGGGATATTAGAAAACAAGATCTGAGCACTGAGTGAAGTGTCTTAATATTCTCTAGCTATCATTCTTAAGTTCACAGTAATAAACATTCATATGCAATTATTTTTTGTCACACAAAATCTAAGGCAAAATCTACTATTCCATTAGGAGAATCTGATGATAGAATCACTTTCCTATAAGAGAGGGTGAGTATAAAAATCAGGGGTCAGCCAACTGTGGCTCACAGGCCAGGAGATGCTGAGCTACAAATGGTTTTTACATTTTTTAGTGGTTGGAAAAAAATCAAAAAAATAATATTTTGTGACATGTAAAAATTATATGACATTCAAATTTCAGGGTCCATAAATAACATTTTATTGGGATACAATTATACTCGTTTGTTTATACATAATGATCTTTGCTTGAGAAGCGTATAGTTAAGTAACTGCAGCAGAAACCAAATGTGGTGTTCTCACTGCTGCTCAGCTTACC